ATGAGTGGGAACACTCAGGCCACTTAAAAGTCTTTCAAGAATGTAAGATCCAAACTGCACTTCAGTGATTACATTCTTGCAGGTTAAAATCAGTGCCCATGTCAAATGGAGGTACCAGTCCTTTTCCTGTCCTGGCCTAAACTATTGCCTAGTAAATACATGATGAACTGAAAACATCCCTATGAATAAAGAATTTATTTTCCTGGCTTTTTTTTCTCCTAAAAGACAAACTTTTCCTAATATGCTTCTTCTCTTGACCACAGTTGACACAATTGCCAAGACCATGCAAGATTCACTCTCCTTCACACTTCATTTAGAACCCATGTAATCTTTTGATTCACATTTCTTGCATCCTTTCAGGGTATATAGATCCTCTACTAAAGCACAAACTATGTGCTGAACAGACTCTTCAGGACATGAGCACAAACTATGTGCTGAACAGACTCTCCAGGACACGTCATGTTGTTCTCTCAGGAATGAGGCACTGCTTTGGCAACAACTACATTTCAGAGGGAGATGGCTCATCTCCCTGCACTGCTGCAGCCTCGGACAGCACTGAGGCAGTTAATTTGCACAGAAAGAATTTCTCCTGACTTGCATTGTTATCCCAACACTCCCCAAATTCCTCAGACTGAAGAAAAAAACATAGAGAAGGAACCCCCTGCCGCCCCAAGAAAGCATTCCTCATCGGAGTAGCAAGTTCACTTTAATCAGTGGAGGCAGCTTAAACCCAAGTTCATGGCAGATCTAAGCTGCCACAGAAATGTGTTTTGAACAGAAACATTATGGGAAGCTTCACAAAGTTGTTCTGTGATCCTAATATGAAGTAATAAGCTGTTTACCCAGCATGACTGTACTGGGATTAATTGACAAAGGAGGGGAGATTAATTGCTATTATTTCCCTGTCAGCTTCACTCCTCCACACGCACTCACTGATCTCACAGACTGCTCCCAGCCTTTCGCTGTGTTAATGTGTCAGAACCACCACAGCTGAGACAAAGTCCTTTACCAAAAGCAATATCCAGAAGACCAACCTGCTTCTAATCCCCTTCAAGTACTAATGAACCCAAATTTGATGCAACAGAATGAACTCTAGTGCTCCTTTGCCCATCATCCCGTGTTTCTGTCAGCTTTTCTGCCCATGAGCATGCTAAGAATTGGAAAGGATTAAACAGATCTGCAGCTTGGCAAAGCACAATGAAATTCTGAGCTTTGTGAGGGTGCTGGGGCACTGGAGGAGGAAAAGAGAACAGGGCACAGATGTGAGTGGGAATTCTGACAAGTAGGATAAACTTTAAACCATCCCTTTGGACAAGATCTCAGTTCACGAGTGCAGCATTGTAACTGCCGAGAAAGCAGATAAAGAGCTTAGATAAAAGCTTGTTTTCAAAGGCTTCACCTACAAAAGCAAATTTTTCTTGTCCTGGCCCAAATTAGCAAATGAGGTAGGCCAGAAACCCCACAAAGAATTCAGCCCAGTTGCAGAAGGTGTTAACTAGGAGCTGATTTTAGATTCTGGGAATGAAAGTAATAGGCTTTCTCAGGAAAGAGCTGGGCAGAACTAAACCAACACAGCTCAACCACTGCAACCACAGAAGGAAAACAGAAAACTTTCCCATGCAGTCAAGGCCTGGGACGGTCTCTGGAATGCTGCTACCTGCTGTTGCAAGTTGAGGCACAAGGATTTCTTCCGGCTTCAAGTGTTTCTCTTTTCCCACGAGATGGCAGCCTGGTAACACTGTGAAAAGGTTGCACTCACCTCACACACAGCGATACAGGACTGTGCTGGGGTCACCTTTCTCAGAAACTACCCTTTGGTGTTGTACTGCCCGAACAGAGAGGACCCGTGGAATTAACAATGCAGAAGACTGAGAACAAACACTTTAAACCAAGATCAGGTTCAGTACCTCCAGCAGAGCTGACATGCAGTACTCACTACCCACATTTCTCAACCAGAAACTGTTAGGGTCAGGCAGGGCATTTGGGCAAGAATCCAGACTCCCCGTTCCCTTGTAAACAGAGAAGGCTTCCTCTGCTCACATCACAAAGACCTTTTGACCTCCTAACACAGCAGATTACTGCCTTCAGCCAAAAATGGCTAGCTCCTATCATCCAAGGGTGTTAGAGAATGGAGATGTTTTACAGATGTTTATATGCTGGTGAGCCAATCTCCTACAGGCAGTAGCCTGTGACACCAGAATGGTAAGCACCCTTTTTTCACTCGAAGGCTGGTTTTCTATATACTTCATTGTACATGTACAGAGAACCCCCTCCATTTCTCCCAGTGAACTCCAGGATACAGACCCCCTGGATACTCTGATCTCAGACTCTATTACACAGTTGATCTTATGTCTCAAAATCTAGCTCATGGCCTATCAACTTGCCCACAGTCACATCCCACTGCACACTCCCACAGTCCATCCCAGTCCTGCCCAGCAGCCCGGGCTGCCCAGGCTGGAATCCTGCAGCAATGCAGCCAACCAGAAGGATCTGATTCCAGCCACCCCTTCACCAACAGTACCTGAATAACCAGGCAGGCATCGACAGAGGAAGCCATTAACAAGGTCCTGGCAGAGCCCCCCGTTCAGGCAGGGCTGGGATTCACACTCATCGATGTTGGTAAAGCAGGTCTCCCCTGGAAAGTGAAACACAAAGAGCCATCTGAAGTGCACTCATGTGGCAGTGAAAGAAAGAATCTGAATCACAACTTGAAGTCATAATTTTTTGCACTTCTGTTCTGTCACCTAAATGCTTGACCTAAATTTCTTGACCTAGAGCATGTCTGGCCTGACACTGACAGAGACACCATCATCCAAACAATCAGGGAAAATGAAGTATGGAACGATTTTCCAGTGGAACATCCACAGAGCTTCTAACTCCAAGAGCATGAGATCAAGAAACCCCTCTTCTCCCACTCTGACTATACAGCTGCTGACATGAGAGTAGTCTCATCAAGGAAACACCTAGAATAGCATCTGTGACTCCAAGGACTTAGCTTTCTCTGATGAGGAATTTCACAGATCTCCCGTAGGGATGAATTCTGCCATATGCATGAGAGACTGACAAAGGGAAACCACCCTGGCACCTGCACAGCCCGAGGGCATTCATCAAAGCATTGGGGAGTGCACAGGGCTGTTGCCTCTGCCTGGAGACAGGCTTGGACAGAGAATGACATCCAGCTGTCTGCAAAATACCCACAGAGCACGTGAGCACAAGCACGTGTTCCTTTTGTTGCACAGATAACGTTGCTCCATTCCCATCTACTCGAACCACTGAGCACCATCCTGTGCAGACAGGCTGAAGATGTGTGTGCAGCTCACCTGCAAAGCCTGGCTGGCAGTGGCACAGGAACCCAGCGGCCTGGCTGTAGCTGAAGTTGCTGGGAAAGTCAGGCTCTGAGCCGTAGTGGGCAGGGTTGGAGCGCTCGAGGCACACACCCCCGTTGTGACAGGGGCCTGATGCACACTCATCCACATCCTCCTCACAGTCCTGTCCTGTGTAACCTGCCAGGAGACATCATGTCAACACCATGCACAAACTCACTGGAACCAGCCTCCCAAACTTTGTGGCTGCCTGGAAGCTGAGAATAAGGCTCAGAAGTCTAGCAGGGAGCCCCCAGGCTCTTTACTTTCTCTACTATGTCCAATGTAGGAGCCAAAATAATCAATTTGCAGGAAAGCATCACCTCATGGTAGAGGAAATCCTGATGGAAAATGGCAGAAAAGAGAGTGAAACTGGATTTAGGGATGGCCTGTACAGGGCAGCAGTGGCAGCCCCACTGTTCCAGGCAATGAGAAATCACACTGGGCCATCCATTAATTCTTTACCTCTCCAACACAGCAATTAAGCACTTGCTGTCATTGCCATGTGCCCACATGCCAACACAGCAAACAGATCCCAACCTACCTGGCCAGCAGGTACAGCTGTAGCTCTTGACTCCCTCCAGGCACGTGGCACCATTGAGGCAGGGGGCAGAGGCACACTCCAGGATATCCAGCTCACAGTGCTCCCCCTCGAAGCCAGTGTCACTGCAGTCACAACGGTAGCTGTGGGGCACCAAACACAGCAAGGCATGAGCTCTTCCTTCCACTGCAAAGCCCAGTGTGAGGACAGAGCCAAAGGAGCTCAGTTGTCAGTGCTTCTGTTCACACCTTACCTGTGAAAAGGTAAATTCAGAGACACAGGTATGTTCTCAGCAGTTGCCTTTGCTGTTCTGCAAATCACTTACTTTTGTGTCTGTCCCTCCCTCTAAGCACCCCAGGGGTTGTGCTGCTGGGAAGGAGCTTCTCCTTTACTGCCATAAATCACTGTTACTGCTAACAGGATGTACAAAACACTAAATCCAATTCCCCCACAATTTCTACTCTGATGTCCACAGGTTACACTAGGTAGATCAGCCCTGGTATGTAATGGCCCAAGCAGCAGTGGTTCCTCACCTGTTAATGAGGTCGACACACGTCCCGTTGTGCTGGCACGGCTGGCTCACACATTCATCGATGTCCACCTCACACTGGATCCCCTCATAACCTGGTGCACAGGTGCAGGTGTAGAACCCAATGTGATCATTGCACAGGGCCCCATTCTGGCAAGGCTCTGAAGCACATTCATCTATTTCAGCTTCACAGTTCACACCTTGGTTACAAAACAGAGAAATATCTGTTACAAATCCAGACAAGTGGATCTGTGCTGCCTGGAATTCTGAGAGGGAATCACAAGAGCCATGTTATCAACCCAAGCTGAGTACCACAGTGATCTGTTCTAACTTTGCCATGAGAATATTTGGGAGCTCGGGAACAGTATGTGATTCTCACAAATTAAAGGACCTTCATTTTTTTATTTGCAAACAAAATTATTTTGTCTAGACTTTTGGATTTCAGTCTTGTACCAAAACAAAAAACAGTTTCAGTGTTTGCAAAGCTTTAGTCTCTGTCACTCAGGTTTACTGAAGCAGAAAATCAGTCATACTTCCCAAATAATATCCATTTTCTGAGCAAGCCATAAAATCTTGATCTTGCACACAGCTCTTACAAGGTCTATGATAGCTGTTTGGTTTGGGATCCTTCAAGGGCAGAGAGGAAGGAGATGGGAAGAGAAGAATCACACTGCTAGTCAGTGTTATTTAAACTTCTACATATAATATAGCTCTTACAGTTTTAGTTAGACATGGAACTCTTCACTTGTGCTGAGTTGCTATTAACCACATCCAGTGTTCACACCAGAGGCAGCTGCATTTTGGGCATGGCAGAAGTGATCCCTACCTGCTTCCCAAAACATTGCTCTATTTGTTTAAAATTACATTTGTAACTTGTTTTAAGATACCTAGGGCAAAAGCATTAAAGCAGTGCAAATGGCTACTTACAGTGGCACTAGCTACAAGTGATTTTTATTATGAAATTCACTTAAAAGCTCAGTGTTAGCTCCACTACTATTAGTGGAAATAGCACCGAGTCTCACATTTTTGGGCCAAAGTCTCAACTTTCCCTGACAGAACAAGACCTGCATGACCTCTGTGCAATTATCTTTGAGTTGCCCATGGCCTGGCATCACCTCCAGGCCTTAGTCATTACAGTGGCACCTGCCAATCCATCTAATCTGCCCCTCTTGGCAAGGCTCCCCACAGAGGGGACATGGCCATCCTAATCCTGGTGGAATGTGGGCCTCCTAATCTGCTGGTTCAGACCCCTCAATACCCACACAACACTTCCTTCACTCAAATTTCCGCTGCCAGCACCAGGAAACAACCTGGCCCTGCTAGCCAATGGATGAAGCCAATGGCCCTTCAACCTCTGGATGAAGATCACATGGCAAAGCCTCATCTTTGACATCAAAACAACTTGAAGCACAACAAGCTCCTCCAGCTGCCTGGGCCATTTTATCACTTCCTTGGCAGGGGAATCCCACAATCCTGAATTGAGGATTCAGCATAAAGATAAAAAAGAAACTGATTTGCAAAGACAGAATTATGCTTGATACTCAAAATCACCAGTAACCTTAAGGCCCACACAGAAATTCTGCCTTTTTCCTCCTTCATCTCTGCTCATTTTTATCAGTGAGTCAGCATCAGGGCCTGTATTCCTGATTCTCCTCATTCCACTGGTCATCAGCAGCATTCGTGCACAGAAAGCCCACTCTTTAAACACCTCAGTCTGGGAACAGGAGGAAGGCTGAGAAAGTTTATGTGCGAGGTGGTACCAGGCAGACGTGGGCCACATTCCACTCCATCCACTCCGATAAGCAGGGAAAGGAGAGCCCCCACTGCCTCCCTCACAGATAACTCACAGGTGTGGATTCCTCTACAGTCACCATTAGCACAGATGCAAAAAAGAGAGATACTTATGCCATGTGCCAAATAAACATTTGCCCAGCATGGAAGAATTGGAAATCTCCAGCTAAAAGCCACTTTATTCCAAAAAACAACTACTCCCCTCAGAGGTCCTGCTAGACACGACAAAGAACTAGAGGCCAGGGAGGCAGAGACAAGTTATACCTGGAAACACGAAGTATACATTTCCTGATAATAGATCTCTTTTTATGCATATCTCCCTTCATTTCATTCTAAGAACTAATTGCATCTACTTTGGATCTATTACTCAAGTCTCAGACAGTCCACCCACTTCCACTCCTGGATCCCTGTCTCTCAACATCCACCCCATCCATGGAAATGAAAGCCACACGAACTGCCAGAAAGCCACAACAACAAGTCCTACACCATTATTCACACACACCACCCAACACTCCAGAAATACAAGTTGTGCAACAGAGACGTAGTCTCACAGCTGTACACCAAGTGTCTCAAGCAGTTGCTGACACCACGGGAGATGTCAGCAGGAGCTGTGGAACCCCCCGAGCAGGGAGCCGTGCCCCGTCCCTCCCCACTCCAGGCACCTGTGTAGCCGGGGGCGCAGTGGCACAGGTAGTGGTCCATGTGGTTGTGGCAGGTGCCGCTGTTGCGGCAGGGCCGGGACGCGCACTCGTTGATGTCGATCTCGCAGTGGTAGCCCTGGAATCCTGGCACGCAGAAACAGCTGTACTCGCCCAGCCCATCGCGGCAGATGGCACCGTTCTGGCAGGGCCCCGAGGCACACTCGTCCACGTCGTGCCCGCAGGTGGCCCCGGTGAAGCCAGGCTGGCAGATGCAGGAGTAGTCCCCCAGGCCCTGGACACAGGTCCCGTTGTTCAGGCAGGGCTGGCTGGAGCCCTCGGAGCTCTCGGCTCGGCAGCCTTCTCCACCCGGCCCTGTTTGGCATTTGCAGGTGTATCCATTTGCACTATCTACACATTCAAAGTGAGGATCTGTACAAGGGTTGCTCTCACACCCATCGATATTGTCACAGTCGATGCCTGTGGAGCCAGGCTGACAGACACATTCATATTCCAGGAGCCCTGGAGTCCGGAAGCAGGTCATATTGGAGGGACAGTCATGTTTAGCACAAGCATCATAGAGGAATTCACAGTTTATGCCCATGTAGGCTACAGGCTCCACAGGGCAGATGCACTGGTAACCCACTTCCAAATCCTTACAGCTCCCACCATTCTCACAGGGGGATGAGGAACAGCCACTGTCATTTTCAGAGTATGAGGTTCCTGTTGAGAAAAGAGACTTTGTGTTAGTCAGCATTGCTAGCTCTAAAGGAAAAAGCTCTGCCAATCACCTCATACAACTCAAACATTGTCCACATAAATTCCACACTCCAAGGGGCTGCTCAGCCATGAGCTGCGAAAGACACTGGAGAATCAAACATTGACTATGAAGAAGCCAACAGAACAGGACTCCATATGATGGCAATCCGGGATTTCCTGCCTAGCTGGGTAACTATGTACCTGTTTTTTTAGGAGACACTCACAAAGCAACTATTTCACTTGTGCTTATTCATCCATGAGTCACTTTGAGAGCAGTGACACACATCTTAAATCCATTCACAAGATTAACTTCGTGTAAAATTCCATGACCCCTTTCACTGGTAGGGCACGGCCCTTGTGCTAGGAAATCCAGAGTCAGGCAGGAGGGTTCAAGGTGTTGGCTGTGGCCCTGAATGTTCCAGCTGTTCCTTCTGGGGAGAATTTTTTCTCAGCTAATCCACTGGTGATTTGAAGATGCTTCCATCAATAATCCAGCTCAAAATGGGCACATCTAACACTGCCTCTGATTACATCAAGCAGCTCAGGTTGATAACCACTGACCCTCACCCTCTGCTCATGTTAGACATGTGAATTCACACAGCAGGAAATTTGTTACAGCAAAGAGCAGAGACTGATGAGATTCACTGTGCTGATGGCATTTTAGATCCAAACACTTAGAAACTGCTGAGCCAAAACACCAGTCTAATAATCAGACACCAGGAACTAATGTTGAGACCAGATTCCCCAAATTTGGGGGCATTTGGATGTGATCAGTTTGTTCACACTGAACCACAATGCCTTGCTGTCCCCACAGTGGCAGTGTTTAGAAGGTTCCTGCCCCATTAAGCAACTCCACCGTCCAGAAATGCGATGGGACAAGCCCATTGAACTGCAAATTTAATTCATATAAATGAGATTACACAGGATACAGCATATAAAAAACCAAAGACGTGTTCAAAGTAGATTTGTCAATGGAGCAGAATGGAAGGACAGGAGGAATCCTCATTTTTCCAAAAGAAATTTTCAATTCCCTTTGTGAAACAAGGGGGCAGATTGCCAAAGGGCAGGACAGCGCAGGGACAGGAGAGCATGGCCTTGATATTAGAATTAGGATATATGCCCTGGACTCAATGACAAAATTAAGCACTTACCAAAAGACAAAAGCCAACCAAAAATAGTATAAAGGGACAAAGGCAGTGCAGAGAACTGCACCTCTGTGAGGAATATTGTTTTACCATGCCATGCTCCAAGGACTTGCCAGGATCACACACCACAGCACTGCTCTTCAGCTGACCTTACACATTCTCTCATTGATGCCATCATTATCCCAGCCCAATTTTGGTCATGCTTGCCCTGCTCTGGGGCACCTTCTACACACCCAGTAGTTAATCTGTGTCAATGGTTTTCTATCAACTCTGCCCCATCGGCTCCTCAGTCTCTTTGTACCTGAAGGTGGAGGCATCGACTTCAGGGCCTGAAAGGGATTTATAGGAGACTGTGGTTTACAAAAGGCTGCCCCTGCCCTGACCTCCCCCAAATTCCTCCCACCAAAAGACTGTAGTGTTTCTAAGTCTTCTTTCAAGAGGCTTTGCTGCTGGGGGAGGGAGGGTGCTCGGGGATGATTTGGGCAGCCCTTTCTCTTCCCAGCATCATCTCTATGGCCCACCCCTCCCTTCCCCTCTCATGTGATGCTGGGGAGAGCTGCTGAGCACTGCACTGTCCAGCAATCCCATTATTCTGCCATCAACTCTTTTATTCTCAGATTCCCAGTCAGGCAGAAAACAAGGATGACGGAATCTGCCTGGAATCTCTGTGGCAATTAGAGTGGAAGCCCAGGAAACTATTCGCAAAAGAGCTTTACCAGGCAGGAGATATTGAGCCTTTGTAGGCTTAATGAGTAACCCGCCCCAGCCTGCACTTCCATGGCCCAGGAGCACAGTTTGGGATATAAAAGGAGCCCAAGTCCAGCACATGCTGGGAAGGAGCTGCAGCACACTCCATCTGCAAAGAAACATCTCAACAGAATCACCAGGCCCTGCTGGTGCAGCCAGGCTGAGTCACTGCAAAGGCTCTGTGCATGGTTTTCTGCTTCCATGCTGAACAGACAGGCTAAATGCTTCTTGCATATAAAGATAAGCATTGAATCCCTTTTCTATTTCCTGCCTTTTTCAAAGTTCTTTCACGACAGACACACCTTTATGTGTCTTCTCTGTTTTGGTTCATTGTATGACTGCAATGCTCCAAAAATCTGTATTAGTCACTGACAGATTTGGTGACAAATATCTGGCCCTGTAGTCACACACACTTACAGCCCCAACCACAGACAGCACAAAGCTTTACTAGTACATCAAAAGGCCTCTTGGCTTACCAGAGACAGGGAGAACTCCAGGCTCTCCAAACTCCCTGTGACCATGAACAACAGCAGTGCTTAACTACGTACCCCAGCAGGACCTTAGGAGGAAAATATTCCTTTATTGGAACAACTATCCTGAAGTAACACAGCATTGCTTACAGGGCATGCATGGAGCAGGCAGGGGAGACTGCAGTGTAAATCAGAAGAAATGAAACAATAGCTAAAAAACTTCAATGCTGAATTCTCCTTTAGAGGCAGTGCTGAACTTCCGGCTTGAGAAAGAGAACATAAGATGTTCCTAGCTCTGGTTTTGTTATTTTCAGCCATCAGTCCTAGGGCATACAATAATTCCTCTAAATTCTGGAACAGATTATTACACAAACGTGAATAGCACACAAATATGTACCAAATGCTAATAAGCAAAATGAATTAGCTTTTCCTGCTGCACAACAGAAGAACCATGAACACAGTTCAGACTATGTTGTCTCATGAACACAGTGAAAATCAGGTCAAACAATCACTGAATGATAAGGGTTTATATTTTTTCCACAAAAGTGGTTGTTGCTGAATAAACAATGACATTCAGGATTTTTCCTTTACATTTCACAAGAAAAATATGTTTGTAAGGGAAAAAAGCATTAGAAGTATATTACAGCCATACCACCCTGCAATCCTACTCTGCAATGAAACTGGAGGAGGCTACAGCTTCTTTGAAGAACACGTTCCAGGCATTTAGGGGAGGATTAGGAGGAACTTCAAAGGCTAACAGAGTCCCATATAAAGCATTCATTGAGCTCTGTCAGGACAGGTCTGGTTTTACACTTTAAAGGTTGCTGACAAAGATTTTCCCTAAACGATGAAATTTGTGACCTTTTGTAACACTTTAAGGCAAACAAATTGCATTACCAGGCTCTGTTTTAATAATTGACTTTAATAATCTTATACTTTCTACCTTCACTATATGATCTTGTCAAAGAGCAGTTGCCACAGTGAGTTTTCTGGTACAAAAGGAGAAAGCAGAAATTAATGAGAAGTTGGGCAACCACTTCACTGCCTGGAAATGCTGCTTTAGCATTACTCACTGGTTTCTATTTTTGGAGTTTACTTTCCCAAGTTTGTTTTTTCGATGTCTTGGGTAACTGACAGAGGATGGATGCCCTGGGGACATACCTGACCTCATGGAAGCCGCTCAGTGCTGCACTGTTAAATACCTTACAGGTGTCTTAATGGTCACTTAAAATGCCCCAGGGAAGCGGCAGCATTGTGGTTATCAGCTCAGAGATTACCTTGTTTCATTCATACGGAAGGAAAAAACAAAATCTAAGCAATCTCGGGCAAGCTGTATCTACTTTATGTGGGAAGAACCTTCCTTCAGGTGAATTTCACCAGACCTGCTCACTACAGCTGAAAAAAAACCCCCCAATTTACAAGAGGTAGTAACAGCAGGATTCCCACAGCAACATCAGCTCCCAACTGCACCACAATAATCACTGTTGAGGGATCCTCAAGTGCCCAAGCCGTGATTGAGACCCTCAGCCTGGTGCAGGTCTCACAGTCAGGCTGAGCTCCTGCTGCTCTGCCCAGCACATCTCCCACTGGAGAAGGATCGTGAGGCCAAGGGTAGAAAGGGAACCCCTCCACCAGAGGGGATTCAGAGCAACACAATGGCTAAATAAACTCCGAATAAAGGAATGGAGAGAGTTGGGTCTCCATGACAACAGGAAGGCATGTGCTTATATTAGTAAATCCCTGCTTCCCTATCCTGGTCAGTGTAAAAGATTAGTGAAAGGGTACACACTTCGGCCTGTTCCCAGGAGCCACACAATCAGGAAGGAAAACTGGCCAGGCCTGAAAAAGGGTTTTCATGCCCACCCTCTCTCCTCCCCAGCCCTGCTCCCTCTGGAAGGGCAGCACATCTGCTATGGAAGGTAATGGCAGGATGACATCAAACCCTCCTTCAGGAAGTACCTTCCATGTACCTGTCCAGGGAGGGGGCAAGGCCTCTTCAGATGGCTTTACACATCCTTAGGGATTTACAAGCCCCTGTTTCCTTCTTGACACAGAGATTAAACTCCTCCTTCCCAGACCTGAGCAAAGAACCTGCTCCAAGTAACACCAGCAGCAGCAAACAAAGCCCAGAAACTCTCTGAGGCTGCTAACAGGCTCATGACATGCTAATAACTGGCACTGATATTTCACCTTAACCTAAAATCTTCCATAACCTGTATTCCCTATGCTGTTTAACACTGTAATGGGCACTTGTCACAGCTGCTTTAAGAGCAGGCTTTTCTACTCAACCTCAGAAAATGGGATGTGGGCTTGGGAAACTTTTCAAAATACCAATGTTTGATCACAAGTACTAAGCCCCCGAGCTGCAGCAGCTCCCACTGCCACCAGCAGCTCTGCTGCAGTAACCTGCTACCTCTGGGCATAGTACTTCAGTGCCTACAGCTCTTTTAGAGAAAGTAATTTTTAAAAAGAGCCTTACTAGTCATGGCTTTGGTGTCTCTTGCAGAGTTTGGATAGATTAAACACACTAGCCCAACATATCTCAGCCAACTACCACTCTGGATATTCATTTTCAGACCTCTGATGTGTGGTCTGCACACAGCTCAGATTGCAGTTTTTCCCATCCAACGTTTCAGACAGATACTGTGTGTTCTTCACTTCCCAGGTTGCTTCTGACGTTGTTTCTGTTTGTTACCAAAGACCAACAAATTCCAGACCACGTTGGTACGTTAGGTTGTTGGTGTGATAGAGTGTTCTCATGCCAGATCCATGCACTCAGTCTACTGGTGTACAGTATTTAAAAAGAATTTATGAAGGCCTGGACCTAGACTTCCATTCAGACAGGCATGAGAAGATGTGGCTCAGGTTCCACTCGTGAACTATGCAGAGTATTTACCCCCTCACAGAAGGAGAATGCTGGTTCCTGGCTCTCCCCCACCCAGCTTGCCCAGTGAACTGATGAAAGGTGCCAAGCAGTGGGCAGCAATCCACAGGGCACAGTAGTGCCAGCATCATGGCCCGAGGCATTAGCAGCAGAAATACTGCTGCAGGGAATTGAACTTACTCTTAACACAGAAGAAGTCAGCTAACTCGTTATCTGTTCACTGTTTCAATGCAGATTTGAAGGTGCAACTCCTATTATCATGCTTCTAGCACTTGGAGAAAGGCAGGAGCTATAAATCCCTGGTTTATGACAGCACTGAATACATTGAAACAATAACACTTTGATCTCCTGTGCTCAGGACATCTCAGTATTTTCCCTTAATAAACACTCCTCCAAGCTGACCTTCATGTTTCACACATTCTCTGATCTCCCAGCCATTTCCACAGATCAAACAATGGTACAGGGTCTTTCCTGTGTATCCAGTTAACCAGGCTGAGTCACAGGCTGTAATTTCCAATTCTTATTTCAATTACTGACAATCAGTGAAACAGCTGAAGAGATTGGGTTTGTTTGTTTGCAGGTTTTGCAGTAAGCTTTAAACTGCCCTGTGTCCCAGCTAATCTCAAGAGCTCCCATTAGAGCCGATAGCAAACTGTCAGGAAAAGGGTTTGCTAGCATATGCTCTCAGTCAACAGGCATCCAAAAGCACCTTCCAGGTCAAAGGGATGTGAATTCCTGTGCTTACTGATGGCTGGAGTTGTGTGAACAGAAGTGAGCAGACACTCCTGCCCTCCAGAATCTCCTTTAAAGATCACAAATAAACTGGGAGCTATTGTGCCCATTACAGAGACATCGGTAAGAGTGGAGTCACATGCAGAGTCTGCACCATTGCCCCCCTGGGGTTTCTTTCCACAACTGGAGATAGTGTCCTTGGGTGCAGGATGGTCTGATGGTTACAGCTTGCAACAGGCCAACTGGATATTCAGAATTTCCTCAAAAACTTAGGAAAAATAACAGCCACTCTCTGCTTCAATGACATTTAGACTCTGCCAATTAGAAATTAAAACAAAGCAGTGATATGGCTCATAAGGGCAAGAAAACACACTTCTTTATGGCATTAAAAACCTACAAGTGCTGTATATACACCACCATTCACTCCAGCTACAACCTGGCAGAATTCCCCTTGCAAAACAGGAGCAGGTGGGAAGACTATGAAAATCACCTCTTTCCTCAAGCTCTGCTGGCTCTGGCAAGATGTGTCACCCACCTGCACTCCCAAAGGAAACCACATTCCCAGTAAATCCCCGTTCCAGAAAAGAGCTTTCCCCAGGACTGGAAGGCCATGGGTGCAGTGGCTATATTGCACAACCTCCCAGACACAGCAGCCCCTGGCAGCCACACACCGTGCATGCACCAGGCCTTCCCTCTGCACAGCACAAAGCCACCAGAATGGCTTCACACTCCAAACCAGTAGCTATGGTTACTAGATACAAAAGACAGTCCTGCTGCTTCCCTGTGGCCAGAGGAATTCCAGGCACTTGGAGCAAACATACCAGACAAAGAAGCTGGTACAAGGAAGAGAATGAGGGGGAAAAAAATCAGACAAAAATCGCAACATATTTTAACTTTCACATTCATGTTTGAGGTGGTCAGAGCAAAGAAAATCCTGGGAGGCTTCAGAGAGGAAAAAAGAGAGACTCCTGGGAAATCAAAGGAAAAGCTGAAAACTTTCTCCAACTCTCCAGAAGTCCATAAACATCAACCATTAATGCCAGAAAATGCCAAGTGCAGTGTTCAGCATGCACTAGCAGAGAAAAGGCACTCTGGCTGTATTTTCTGGGTGTTCTCCATATTTTACCTCCACTTCTTTGCATCATGGATCATGCCTGTCCTTGCTCTGTGGAAACCAAACCACACTTGTATATCCAGGTACTGTCCTGGCAGTGCTGGGGACAGGATAAGGAGACCAGTTCAAGCCCAATCATACTTTCCAGTAAAGGGCTGGATGTGTTCCTGACATGACCTTATAATCCCTAGATGACTAAAACAGATGTCTAGGCCCAGCAGATCTCCAGGCACCCATACCAGAAGAAACAGATACCCATTTTCCAGGGTGCATAAGAAATTGTATGCAAGGGTGACAATGCAGCCCAAAGACATGTTCTGGGGAACTTGAGGAATCCCAGGAGACTCAAGTAAATTCTCTGGCTACAAAGTAATTTTATGATGTGGATAAAACACAAAATAACTCCCCTCACCAGCAGTGTGGACTCTTGTTACCTCATCGCTTCCTGCACTTTGAGGATGGATTTGCTTTCTGCAAAATTCCTAAGTGAGAGCACTTGTGTAGTCATCTCCCTCCACATTTTGTCCCAGATGTATCTGGCACTACACTCCCCTAGGCACACTCCTCTTGTGCCCAGGTGTATTTCTAGAGCACACAGGATGGAAATAAAACTGTTTCTTCTGGATGGGCACAACTAAAAAATTCAGACCTTTTCAATGGAGAAAATGGTTACTATAACAGCTGAATACTTAATGACATGAATACTAATTACTTTTAGCTCTGGTGAATAAATGCATATACAGGTGTGCACAGGGAGAAAGATGAAAGGAGACAAGAAATTAACAGAAGGAAAAACGTATCCAGAAAGAAATGCCTGTTTATCTTCCAGACAGCAAGTTTTCAGGCTTCAACTCTAACTGTGAGAGTGACAATTTGTTCAAGTGCAAGGGCAGGTCACAGATTTGACCCAAAGTTACTGCATAGTAGCTGGGTATGAATCAGGCACAGAAGACAAAAACTTACCCCAAAGTAAGAGGAAAAGTGGCAGCAGGAGAGCAGCATTGTACGCCCTGGAGGTAGTTTTCTTTAATTCCATGACAAGCCTAAGAGTGGCTGTTCTAAAACCTTCCTGGGAGAAAGAGGAGTTGGAACCTAGCACACACCTCCCCTGCCCACATCACGGACTCTGGCGGGCTGTCCCTACGCCAGGCACTCGCTCCATGCTCCGCCGCGCTGGGACCAGCACTAACCCCGTGGACAGAGTTCCCTCGT